ATAGTTTAGGATTCGCACCCATGGTTACCCGAATATCCGTGGTGACCCGAATACCCGTGGTTGCCCGGTGAGTAGGGTATGGTTATATAATTTTCATACCCGGTGGTTATTTGATCGGGTATTTTAGAAAGCTCTACCCGGCGGGTTAGGAGTTGGTATAGGGTAAACCCGCACCCGACCCTACTCATTGCCATCCTAGATGGTGTATAGAGAAATAAAAAAATAAAAAAGGGAAAATAAAAAAAATAAAAATTACCAGAATTAAATGCTCACCCACCCACTTTCACTCTCTAAACCTCTCTCTCTCTCTCTCTCTCTCTCTCTCTCTGATATTCTCCTCTTCCAAAGGCAGAGTCGCCGCCAACCATAACTTCCGTCGGTGATTTTCCCGTCGGCGAGCATCTCCCTCGTCCGCCGTCGTCAATGGTATAGGATGGGGATCGACGAAAATGGTGAGTTGGATGATCAACGAGCTTCTCCGATGAAGAAGGATAAGCCAATCGTCGTAAATAGAGAAGAAGAACCATATCCTACATCATCAGAGTTTGTTGATGAAGATTTCGGGCCAACGCTTGCGCTCCATAAAGAAAAAGAAGAAAATAAAGGTTGATTGAATAATATTTTTTTTGGCATTACAGAAGGCGAAAACCGCCAAGCATGAACAGAACAGGGGGGCTAAGAGGAATGGGGCAGGGGAAAGCATTCCCGGAACAATCCGACGCTCAAAACACCCCCCCCCCCAACATCATCCTGCAGAATGGGAACTAGCCCTGATGGCGGGTTAGCAAGCTCATGCATACCGTAGGGATAGACGAGACTGTGCTTCGAGAGCCAGTCCGCGGCTCTATTCCCTTCCCGGTATGTATGAGAGATGCTCACCAGCCAGTCAAGGCTTAGTTTTCTCCGAATGGCCAAAAGAAGAGTAGAATATGGGTGGACAGGATTGTGTCTCTTCTCAAGAAGCTGGATGGCCAGCTGAGAATCAGACTGCACAATGACAGCTCGACATCCTTCTTTCCAAGCTAAATCAAGCCCATAAGAAAACGCCCATAGCTCTGCTAGAGTCACGGTCGCCGACCCAATGCTGGCTGTGAAGCCGGCGATCCATTTCCCTGTAGAGTCTCGAAGAAGACCGCCAGCCCCGGCTTGACCTGAGTTCCCGCAGGAAGCACCATCAATGTTCAGGGCTATCCATCCTTCTGGGGGTTGTTTCCAGCCAATGTTGGTTGTGACTCGACCTGCTGGTTGACATTGGTTACCTGGCATCGGTGAGGGGGCAGCCCAAGCCTTGTGCCAAAGTTTGACCTTGGCCATAATGGAGTAAGCAAGCGAGGGAGGGGAAAGAGCCGCTTGCGCCCCTCTGAAAGAGGTAGTGCACCTGTTCTTCCAAATCAGCCAAACTGCAATACAGAAAAAAGCCCCCTAAGAGGGCCCCATGTCAGTGGAAGCGTCCTTACCAATGTTCTCTCGCAGCCAGACACCCTGATCCAAGTTGAAAAAATGTCCCTGCTCCGCTTCCGAAATCTGACGAATCAAAAAATAACGCGCCGGCGGGCAATCTTTGAGGATGTGCACTATGGTCTCTGGAGTTCCCTGGCATCTGGAACATAAAGGGTTGCTTGCGCACTTCCTAGCAAAACGAAGCGAGTTCGTTGCAATTTTTCCCAAGAGAACTGTCCACATGAACGTCCTGACTCTCTCGGGAGTCGGGATTCTCCAAATAGTTCTCCAAAGTTTCTCGTTCGGATTCTGAACTTCCTGGTTTTGCAGGTTGTATGCCGACTTTGCCGAGAAGTGCCCGTCCGCCGAGGCCGTCCAAAACAACTCCTCATTCCCATTAGATAAGGTGTCAACCACAATGGAGGTGATTTTTTGTTGGATCTCTATCGGCATCAGCGTGTTGAAGAGTTCAGTCCTCCATCTACCATCCTGATCCACGAAGTCCGCTACCCTGGCTTCCTCAAGATCATCCGGGACCTGACTTAGAGAAACCTCCTTGAGGGGTACCTGCAGACACCAGATATCATGCCAAAATTTAGTGTTCCTCCCATTCTTAATGTTCCACGCACAACCTTTCTGAAAAAGGTTGGAAGCTTTAGCAAAGCTCTGCCAGGTAAAGGAACTTCCCTGAATAGGTCGTAGCATGTCCAGTTCGTCCCTCTGTCTTCCATACTTTGCCCGCATGACCTTGGACCAAAGGGCATCTCTGTCCGTTATGAGCCTCCACGCATTCTTTGCCAGCATTGCCAGGTTTGCTTGTCTGAGGGAACGAAGCCCAGCTCCTCCTTGAGTTTTTGGTGAAGTCATCTTGTCCCAAGCCACCAAGTGCATCTTGGGTTGATTCTCCTCCTCGCCCCAGATGAAATCCCTATTGATCTTGTCGATGCTTTTGCACACTGCACTCAGAATCATCTCAGTATTCATATGATAAACATGTATGGAGGATGTTACCGAACCGGCGACAGTGAGATGGGCAGCCAGCGAGAGCCTTTTAGTTTTCCAGGGAGCCAACTTTTTCTGGATACGCAGCACCAAACCTTGATACCTTGTCTTCGTGACCCGCCAGTGAATGGCCTCAATGCCGAGATATTTCCCTAAGTCAGTCTTGAGAGGAATATCAGCTCTTTGGCTCAGAGCCATCGCCTTGGACCGAAATGTTTGGAGAAATGTGCACCATAGATTTGTTGTAGTTGATCCTCTGCCCCGAGCTAAAGCAAAAGTCGTCCAGGCAGGCCTTGATGATCCTGATCTGTCTCGACTCGGCTTCAACAAAAAGTAAAAGATCATCTGCAAAAAAGAGGTGTGTGAGAGGCGGGCCATTCTGGTTAAGTTTCAACGGTTTCCACTGCTTATCTAAAACTGCTCTATCTATCAAATGCGAAAGACGCTCCATACATAAGACAAAGAGGTAAGGGGATAGAGGGTCTCCCTGTCGAACTCCGCGGGTTGGGGTGATAGGTTGAGAGAGAAAGCCGTTCCAGAGAACCCGCATCCGGTTCTGCTCCATAAAGAAGAAGAAGAAGAAAATAAAGGTTGATTGAATAATATATATGTTTGTGTTGTTGAGATTGGTTGGTTGCATTGAATGACAATTAATGATGTTAATGTTGTTATGGGGTACTGATACGGGGGTTTTGGATACGATTTACTGAAATGTTGGATATTGGTCTGGGCATGTTTGAGGTGGTGTGTAACCTACTGTTTAATGTAATGTTTGATACTAGTCTGGTATAAATGGATACTATTTATTGAAAGGCTGGATATTTGTTGAAGCCTATGTATTCTAACAGTTTGTGGGTGCGATTTGTAGTATGGGCATATTGATTTCATTTGTTTATTGGACAATATGGATAATAACATGCCTCATACCATTAACTCGCAGCTCATAAGACGTTGGACCTAGAAGACGAGAAAGTGAGGAAGAACATCTTTTATCGCACTAAGGATGAGTGTTCGGATTTCTATAAACGCTATGCTCACAAAAAAGGGTTTGGTGTTTGAATAGATGGGGAACACATAAGAAAGATTAAGAATCCTAAAGGAGTGGTGGAGAAAAACTATGCATACCTTTATTACTTTTGTAATAAGCAAGACTGGACTTCCACTAGCGAAGTAAATGTAAACAAACAGAGACAGTCGGAAGACAAAGTTGTGGAGAGAATGCGCTCTAAAAGAAAGAGGCCTCGAGTTAGGGATAGAATTATCGCCTGTGTTCGTTTTTGATGGGATGCTACTAGAGACGGATTTGTGGTGTATGAATTCGTAGAAGAACACAACCATGATTTGCACTCTATCGAGCATACACATTTGCACAAGTCTAACAAGTGCATGAGTGATGCTCAGAGAAAGATGGTCGAAGCTAATCGCGATGTCGAGATGAGTCTTAATGCATCGTATCAGTTATTGACTGAGTGTGCTGGTGGCTATTAAAATCTGACTTTTACCAAATGCGATCAGAAGAACCACTTGAACAGTAAAAGGCAAAGGAAAATGGCTCGTGGCGAAGCGACTTATTTGCTTGACTACTTTGAGGACCAAAAGGACAAGCATCCTAACTTCTTTTATGTTGTAGAGGTAGATTACGAGGAGAAAGTTGCTAATATTTTTTGGCGTACAGTAGGATGCGTGAAGATTATGCGCTTTCCGGAGATTCGGTCTCCTTTGATACCACCTTCCGAACCAATAAATACTTTCGTCCACTGGTACGTGAATCACCTAATTCCCTTGAGTTTTTTACACTCGTTTGGTTATGCATTGTCATTAATAGTTGTCTTGTGCAAGAATGTTTGTACGTATATTACAAAAATGGTTATGAGTAGAATGTACGGTGGTTCGAGAGTGGTATGTTGTGATCCGATATTGACATGTGATGTCAGGATATGTTTTTGTAAAAGGGCGGATATTAATCCGCTTTTATAGGATATTATTCAGGGTTGTACTGATATTTGTTGGCCAATCTAGTGACATTGTACTGTGCAGTATGGATAACATATATTTTTAACGATCACTATGGATATATGTTTTTAACTATCTAGTGACATTGTACTGTGCAATATGGAAATTAACAAATTTACCCCTCTATTAAAATTTTGCACAAACATATCCTTCTAATATTAAAACGTAATGAGTTTATCATTCCATCAAATTATCTGTTAAGTGGTCGTTAAATGGACTATGAAATGACCCAATTATCCCTCATTTACTCCTAAACACTTCAAAGTTTAGTTTAATTATTTTATTTCCCAAATCAATTAATTAAAAAATCAACACCCCTAAAAATCTACAATACCGATTGGGATACCGAAGTGTCGATTGGGATACCGAAATATTTAGAAATTGCTAATTAATTTTAAGGTGTAATTTGATATTTTTGTATTGGAATACAGTTACCGTACCGATTTCCATCACTACAACAAGTGAGAATCATGGTTTCTATAAAACGAAAAAATTCTAAAAAGAAAAGAAAAAAAAAAGAATAAGTGAACGTTTAGTCACGGCGTAACGCAAAAGAAGAGAGGGAAAGCAAAAGACGAAAAATTCAAAATGAACCCCACTTTCTGACATCCCTGAACCGCAGTTGTCTCTCGCCATCTCTCGCCATCCATTGTCTAGATCTCTTCTCCTCCATCACCGGAAGAATGAAGAGGGGCAACCGCCGAACAAAGCGCGCCGGCGCCGCCGACTCTCCATCACCATCTAAGTGCGGGGAAAGCGACAAGCAGCCGCAGCCGCAGCAGAATCACGAGAGTAGGATACACGATTTGGAGAGGGAAAACCAGGATCTAAGGGTGAGTTCTCATTACTGGTGCTGACTTCCAGTAAGGATTTGCTTTTTCTTTGCTCAAAGTTGCATTCGACTGTCAATCGTGATTCGTAATTGTGAAATTCGAATTCGAATGTGGAGATGGTTTGTTGACTGTAGTAGCAGAGTTTAGGGCGTCCGTTTAAAGCTTTGCTCGCATGCTCTACCGATTAAATTTGTTTGGGTTCAAAGAAGAACTAAGGAAATCTAAAGGAAATAGGTTTTCTCGGAGACATCAATGATGCTTGTTGGTGGTGGACTCGTGGTTTTCATAATCATTTCTCCAGTTTTACCGACGTCTATTTTGATTGGTAGAAAGAGGTCGAGGAATTGAAGCACAGGCTGGGAAACGATTCCCCAGCTTCAGATGGCAAGATTCAGAAGCTCTATGAAGGCGCGCTCGAAAAGCTGCGCATTCTTGATGAACAGGTTGGATTTCATCCACAGCTAACATATCTGAAGCTGCGTTTCTTTATGCAGCTATGAACTGTTATTTCATTTTTTTCAGGCTATGGATTTGAAGAAGAAACTCAATGCTCAATCTCAGTTTTCAACTCAAAAGCAAAAGACAGCAGGGCGACAGCCAGAGGATGTGATCCAGAGATTGAAGGCTCAAAAGGTAGAATGAAGCAACCACTGACTTTGGTACCCATTTGAACATGAGACTAATTATTTGCTTCTGCGGATGTCTGCGTCAAGGTCCAACTTCTCTGCAAGATCAAGCTGGACTCTGTGCAATTCAGGCTGTCAAAAGCTTCACTAGAGAAAGAGGTTCTCCAGGCATGTACCTGTTCTTTTACTATTTCTTTTCCTTGATGTTGAAGTTTCGATATGAGATGTATTCTGAATCTTTTGATATTCCTTGCTTTGCAGTACTTCCGTTGACATATCATGAATTAGTTGTTTGTGTTTCCGAGTTCCGACTGTGTTATGTTTTGGTAGATAATTCTGAGCAACCATAAGCTAGAATGTTATGTGCTTTCCAGTAAGTTTTATGTAACATGCATGATCCAGAATTGGTGAATACTATCTTCTCACACGAAAAGTTTTTCATCGTGACAGCTTAAGAAAGACCATAGGAAGAATGAATATGAGATACGCAAGCTATTGGCTCTAACCAGCAGGCAAAAGCTGGCAAGTTATTCTTCTTCGGAAATTTTAGAATCTTATGTTCCTATATGTTTCCATGACATTGTGGTGATCTTTTGATGCTACTGGTGTGAATTCAGGTACTACAGAGGAAACAAGAGGAAGCTTCTGCAGCAACAAGGAAACTTAATGAGTTCTTACAGTCTAGGAAGACTTCATCTCAAAGAAGTTCAGGTCTGAAGATCATTACTCAATAAATTTCCGTGTGTGTTTTCATATTCCTTGTATCTAATTCGTGCTCCTTTGTAAACTTTATTCAGGTTCTCAGAAAGATGGGAGTCCTGGAAGTCAGGTATACATTCTCAAATTTAGACGAGCAAATTGCTATTTCTTGTTCAGAGCTCCAGGTAGTTGGCTTAGTGGGTGTATGATGCCATATAAAAATGAACTGTGATGGCACGATTACATTGAGATTGGAGTTGGTGGGTGTATGATGCAAGTCTAGTTATGAACTTAGACTTCTGCTACTGTATTTTTCAATTTTAGATGATGAATTGTTTTTAGCTAAACTACTGTCAGAACTAGAGAATAAAAATTGTGGGATATGCTCCTTCGAGGCATAGTAACTTTGTCAAACGATTTCAAAGTCAGAGCACATTTAAGTGGCCAAACAGCCTTTCCTCTTTTTGAGCTTGAGTCAGACTTTGGTTTAACCAAATTTCTATTCGTTTTAGGGCCAAACCATGTCATGGTTCATTTAAAAGAAATTTTAATGTGTAGATTTTTGTATAAACCAAGGGGTATCCTCCATGGCTATTTTATGTCCAAATACTAACAGCTGTTAACTTGCAAAGGGTCGATCTATACTTTGTCTGGGTTCAACGGATTGGTGCATATGTGTTCATCCTCGCTGGATTTGCTTATCATTTATCATTTCTTTGACGTGACAACATGTAAGCAGGCCCTTGAGATTGAGCTGAAAGTTACGGAAAGGGTAGAAGACATACGTTGCGACTTTGAGCGTCAAATGGAAGAGTAAGTCCTTATTGCTTTATGAAGGCCAAGATTATTGGATTTACTGATAAAAAATTGGCCTAGATACTTGGTATCCATGAATTGGTGAAGTTATATAATTCCATTGGCTGAGCATCAACATGAACATGAGTTACTTTGTCTATTATTCATTGCATTATGGAAATGCTTTGGGCATTTAGTCAAAAAGTGATGCAACCAAGAGAATAAATCAACTATTGTAATGATGATTATTAATTTCAGGAATATCCAATCTACTTGCCTGGAGTTTTCATCTTGTAATTTTCTGAATATGTTTCTATTCTTCAACTAATTGCAAGTTAATTAACTGTTATAGGATGGCAGAAGAAGTAAAGAAATATGAGGAAGAAGCTGAGATGCTAAGGCAAGAGAATTTCAGGTGCGACTTGAGGGAAATAAACCTTGAGTTTAAGTGTTTGCACTATTCAAGCCTCTTGTATACTTGTGCGGTTTACTGAACTGGTATTTAGGGCATTTGCTTTAGGTTCATGTTGCAGGATAAAGAAAACGACTGCATGGCTAGAGATTCAGAGTTGAGAGACTTAAAAGAAGAAGTGTTCAAACTAAGTACCATGGTGAACCAGATGCCAATAGTAAGGGCACGGCCTGTTCACTCGACAAAACCACAGGTGGGTTTAACTGAGCTGAATGTTGGTACAACTGAGAAAACTGTGTTATTCGCCCCTATAATAAGCACAAAATTACAATCATATTCAACTGTGGTTGCCTTGAATGATCAGGATTTGAGTCGTTCTGTGTTGTTCGAGACACCCGCAGTGGATTCAGAAACTTCTGATAATGTCCCCACTAGGGTGAAATCCGCACTAGGAGGATGCTGCTCTTGCAGTAAAAACTCACTGTGCAAGACAAATAAGTGCCAATGCCGAGCTGCTAAGGGCGGTTGTGGTGAAGGCTGTCGTTGTTCAATTGCAAAGTGCACAAATGGGAAGCGTTTGGCCAAGAAGGATAGCTCACTGCCATCAGTCATAGCTCAGGACTTGGTCCATTCTTCAGGCAGCGAGAATACGTTGGATGCGACATCTCCCAATCAAGAGACGGAAAGACAGCCCTTTTCCGAAATCGGAAATGTTCAGGTACTCCTAACTTTTCGTTGTTCTGCTTCTCTTGCCCTCTATCTCGTGAAAGAGTAAGGTTCAATGTCGTTCCATGTTCCAAAAACAACTTGGAACATGATATTTATTCACGTCAACCAACCAACATTCCTACATTATTAGCTAGCTCTCAGGCAAATCATCTTTGTGACACCATTTGTCCTCAAGTAAAAGTACCATGCTCCATCTCCCATAAAATCGTTTCCTTCTTGAACTGACATTTGCCGACTACGGGTTTCTGTGTGTGCTTAGGGTTGCAAGTCTGTAGAGGAAACCAAGATGGAGAAGGCATCCACACATCTTGAAATGGAGCAACCAACAGGTAACCCGGAAAGCCTGAAACCAGTTGCTGATAAAACTGGCGCTGCTCCACCAGATATGTTTAGGAAGTTGACAAGGGCCATGCGGTCTGCCGTGATCGGGAAGTAACATCCTCGAACACAGAAGAGCACCAAATTCTGACCAAGTGATTACCACAAAAATTGATTCTTGAGGCTTCTTGCTTCAGACCGTTCATAAATTGTTGTGAGACGAAAAGCAATGGCAGTCGACCCACGAAAAAAATAGAAAAGGAATCAATTACAGCGTTGTAGTCTTCCAGATTCGTGTGCGTTGTTTGAGACTTGAGAGAGTTTTAAGGTGGGGAGGTGACCAAGGAAATGAGTGTGTTTTGCATGTTGATCCATTGCAGGAGGTGCCTTTCTCCCCCGAGTTAATGTGCTTCCAAATTCATGAAAAAGTGTTTAAGTCATTAGGTATTAGTTGGATGCAAAAACAATTTTTCTAAGATGACATGTTTGTTTTTTATTGTTAGGTGTTACAGGAATACGAACTCGAGATCTTCATGTTGAAGCTAAAACAAATTTTTGTTCACTTGGATGCAGTTTGGTTATGCTGCTGACGATTTTCTTTCAGGATGATCCTAATATCGACGGATTCCCCAACCATGCACAGCGAGTGCACCAAATCATTGCCTTCAAATATTGGATTGCGGGGCCCACGCCCACCCACTGAAAATTTACTAAAAGTCTAAAACATGGTGGCTCTAAGCCTTTATTTTGAAAGGGAGAAGCAATACACAATACAAAAAGGCTTTTCTACGTTGAATTCATAAAAATAAAAACATAAATGAGAAAGGGACGTTAGTACTTGGTAGACAAGATGTCGAACTACAAATAAGAGAGTTTTTTTTTTTTTTGCCATAACATGTGCAAAATTATTGTATCTACATGTAGCATAGTGGAGCGATGTACGTCCCAATGAAATACGGAAGACTTGGACCTGCATTATGAGTAGGGGTGGAAATCGGTACGGTATCGGTATCCCAATACCAAATACCGAAATTCCGAATACCAAATTACACCCTAAAATCAATCTCAATCCCAATCCCTAAATAATTTCGGTATCCCAATCGGTATCTCGGTATCCCAATCGGTATTAACGAATACATAATTAATTACCTTTACAATTAATAATTAAATATATAAATTATATTTTATTGTTTAATTTAGGGCAAAGAGACTAAGCAAATAGTCTTGAGTTGCCTAGAGCTAACATCTCAAATTCTTGTAATTGGTAATCTTTAATTTGACGAATTTGAGGTTGAGAGACGACTAATACTAGTGTGAAATAGTGATGTAATGATCTATGTATAATTAAATGATGAATTTGGTGGTTGATGGTCGCGTAGTAGTGAATGAGAGAGTCTAGTTGAGAGGATTAAATACACACTAGCTTATATTTCGGTATTGATCGGTATTTCGGTATATACCGATCCCAATCCCGTAATCCCTAATACCAAATAACAATTGAAATTCAATCCCAATCCCAATCCCACAAAATAATACGTGTATTCGGTAATACCAAATATAGGCAAATTCGGTACGGTATTCGGTATATCCCAAATACCGGTACCAAACTTCCAGCCCTAATTATGAGAGCACCCCATAGGGCTGGGCATGCAGGCGGATCATCCGCGGGTTTGGGCCGACCCACCCGCATTTGACCCGAATTTCGTTAAGTGGGTGGGTCTGTGAATGGGTGACGGGTTGCGCTGAGAGCCATTCGCCGGGTGGTGGGTGGGTTGTGAGTGAATGTGCGGGTGATCGGCTCAACCCAACAGCAAAAAGATCAAAGTCGTTGGCGTTAGAGAGAGGAGAGTGGAGACATTAGATATAAACTCGGACTACTCCTGGAGTTTGAACCTCAAAGCCAACCTTCCAAATAGAGACCCCCCTCTGCTTCCCTTTACTTTTTCCTCTAATTCTTGTGCCTAGATCACCGCTCTTTCCTTTGTGGAATTATTTTCCTTAGCTCCTTGCACCTAATAATCGTCTCAATCTCTAGAAAACTTTCATAATAGAATTTCTATCCAATTTAAGAACTAATTCGACATTTTTCGCTCTATTTCAACTTCTTGTTTCCCTCGATGATTCTCTTCACCTATTATCATGTCAAGTTGACTTCTTTATATTATATACATTGTGATGTAGGTGAACCCACAAAACCACCAGCATCATCCACCATCCGCCCGACCCAACCCGAGACTAAATGTGGGTGGGTGGTGGGTTAAAAATTATCAATCCATTTAAGCGCGGGTGGATGCATTTTATGGTTAAAATCCATCCGACCCACCCAATGCCCACCCCTACCCCACCACCACTACGTAGCAATGAGCTTTCAAATGACGACCTGAACATCACCACAAAAATAAGATATTAGTAAATAAATGAGCAAGACGACATCTAATGACATCCCGACATCCATTAGTTCAAACATGAAAAGGGTTAGAGAAGAAATCATATTAGTGTTTAAAAGAAATTTTGATAACCCATTCACATGAAACGGGTTAGAGAAGAAATCATTAATAGGGCTCGACTTTGTTTCTTGGTCGTGTATTAAATATGTTCTTTGTAAGGATCTTTATTTGTCCTCTTTTTAAAAATGATTGATCCGAAAAAAAAAACAACCCAACATCTCTCCTTTTACTATAGGACCAACCCAAAGTTCCATCTTCTTAGGTCCTCATTTATTTATTCTCTCTGTTGGACCTTAAGAGTTAAGACCACCTCTATTCCTTTCCCACCAACTCGAGCCTTAAGCACGTTCCTTAATCCTTTCTTTTTCTTAGGCCAATGAGGCATGTTCCACTTTCAATAATTCACCAACTCTTCTCTTCTTTCTTTTGTTCCTCTTCTTGAGCAATGAGCAATGAAGTATTTTTCACTTAGTAATTAATTTATAAATGGCTTGTCCATGAAACAAGATTCAGCCCAATTAACCCATTAAGGTCCTTATCCTAGAATATAATTCAGTTCATTCGAATTTGCCTACGTAATCGAATAACCAATCCGTACGTTTGAAATTCACAAATAATATACTAGACATGTATTTGGAAATCACCTCATAAATTTGATACAAATCCAAATACTAAATATAATAATATTAAAAAAATAATTAAATATTTAAAAATCCAAATTTCACATTTCACATTTCAAATCCAAATCCAAATCATTTTATATTAACAACCAATAAAAAAAGGCTCCCTTCTCTCTCTAACTTTACCTTTTCTCTCCCTTCTCTCTAGCAACTAATTTTGAATTCCAGTGGGCTGCCGTCGGCTTCCTCTGGAACTGGCGGTGGCCCTAATGGTTTTTTTTTCCGTCATCTTTGTAGCTTTTCCCTTCCCTTCTCTTTGTTTTTGTCTTTCAATTTTTCAGTTTTTGTTTCTTCTCTGGTAGTGTTTTTCCCGTTTGGCTTTTCGTCCACCCTTGTGGTGTTGATTTCTATCCTCTCCTTGCTGAGAATGATTTTGCTCCCCACCTTGCTGGTTCCCAGTTCTTGTGTGGACGACCCTCTGGTTGGTGTTTGAGGGAGCCGAATATTCGGTTCGTTTACTCCTCTTCTGTTCTTCTATCTACCTCCTTTTGTTTCATTCAAATCTGGGGATGATTCGGAGATGCATGGGCCATTGTTGTCTAGGATAGATTTTCGGGGAGCTTGTGAGCAGGGAAATCTTGTTTGTGGTGGGTTATTGCCATTTTGCTCAGATCAGTGGTGGTTCAAGCGTCACTTCTCTGTCCATGTTCCGGGGCTGCTCCTCTGGTTTATTTGTTGATGCAGGTGGATCTTGGAGCCGCTCTGGGTTTGGTCCTCCCAACCGTTCTTGCAGCTGTTCTTCTTCTCGCTGGCGTCATTCCGTCATTTCTGGTGCTTTTCCCCTGGCGATGAAGGTCTGTTCCGGCAGAAGCTTGCGGCGGCAAGGTTCAGGGGTGGAGGATGCAAAAGGAGGCCACCACTCCTTGGGCCTGCTGAATTAGGCTTCCTGGGTGGGCTTTCCGGTCTAATTATTCAGCCTAGGCTTTGGGCCTGCTGGGTTTTTGGACTATTGTAAGCTTATGTTTTGGAATTCTTGTTTAGTGGGCTTTTTTCTTCCTCTCAGTGTTGTTTAACTCTGTACACCGTGTTTCTTATCAATGAAACGACCAATCTTCTGTCAAAAAAAAAAAAAAAACAACCAATAAAAGAAATCTAGTCAAAGTTCCAAGTTCCCTTGAGCAGATCAAGTGCATACCTTGTGGTCAATAACTATGCATAAACTAATCAGAATCTACAACATCAGCGTTTCTTCTCTCTCCTGAAAAGCCTTTAATTTTCTCCCTTTAATCTATAACGGACGATTTCTCACTTGTTTTAAGTCGAAATTAAATTTTTGCACAGTTAGATCAGATTAATTGTGCTTATCAAAATGAATCCACTTTGATATATTTTTGGAACAAAAAAATGAGACATTTTTTACCAGTCTATACCATATGGTATTGACTGGTATTGAAATAAGAGCATACCTATGATATGAAAAGCGTACCATGGTGGTATGAGCAAACCAAGACTGTAGGATGGTTGAATACATGATAGTATAAGTATATTAACTGTCATTTACGACTTTTAACATTGTGTACCACAAGATACCACCCCGTACGAGGGTGGTATTGTGTGGTATTTTTTTGTCCTGTATTTTGTTCACCCAGAAAAATTGTAGATTCAATAGATCATGATAAACTCGTTCTTTCTGTGCAAAATTTTCCAAAAACGAAGAAGATACCATATGGTATGCAGTTGGTAACGAGAGACAAGAATTTTTTTCCCTAAAAATATTGAAAATAAATATCATTTTGTAGAGCACAACGAATTCGTTCTATCTATACAAAAAAAAATTGAAATCCAAGTTAAAACGAAGAAAATATGAACCGATTAAAAAAACAAGGGAAAATAAAAATGCATTTAATTCTTCCCTTTAGATCTGAATTTTTCTGAATGAAATGTTCAAATTTAATTACTGATAAATGCATAATCATTGTTATGCACCGTATATTGAGCTCCAAGTTACCGGCCCGACTTGCATAACCTATTAACCTAGGCGCCTTTGCTGGGGCCATACACAACTCGCTACTACTAGATTCACTAGCTTTGTCCCCGGCCAGTTGGCCGGGTAAATTTCACACCTTATCTTGTAAATTAAGAATTTTATAATTATGTTTAAATAATTATAAATCTTTCTATTATTTATATTTATCAATTCACTCTTAAGAATATATTTGTGGTCCGTTGAGATAACTTTATGAGATCGTAACTAAGTAAGAGTTGAGTTAACACTAATAGCAATGATTTTCAATGAATTCTAGTACATGAATATTTCAAAAACTTCTGCTAACATTTATCACATACACATATAATTATCTAATTTTCTCTAATTTCCACTCATGCCCTCTAAGAACATCCACATGAGTATAATTCCAAAAGTAATTGGATATATGATATTTATTGTCAACTCAATTTTTTTCAAGCCAACTCATATTCATTTCATTTAACTACATCATT